ACCTGCTTGGAATTCTCTCTTTCCCTCTCTCTTTTCCAGCCCTCAAGTAAATAAATAAACTGAAGAAGTAGAAGGAGGAGGAGGAGGGGGCGGGGGAGGGACTGAGGTAGTGCAGACATGGACACAGAAAGGCGGTGACCCAGGGAGGTGGCAGTGGAAATGGTGAGAAATGGTCAGATTCTTGATGTATCCTAAGTGAAGCCAATATGATTTTATGATGGATTAGATGTGGAATGTAAGAATAAAAAAAACTTTAAGGATAAAGCTCTGTGTAATAGTTCTCTATTGCTCTGTGACAAATTACTCCAAATCGTATAGACCCGTGAGGTAATAAATGGGTGTTGTTTTAAGCTGCTAAATTTGTGGTGATTTCTTATGGCAGCCACAGAAAATGAATAAACCTTCCCAAGAAGCTTGCTCTATCTTTGAATAGCACCCATTATATGGAAATATTTCCTTATTTGTTGCACTAGGATCTGTCACAGTGTTTCTCCCATCATTACACCGAATTTTACTTCTTGGAGTCATGTAGACAGCCCACCCTATATTTGAAGACAGCCTTTCTGAACTTTGTCTTCTTTGAACCACAGATTCCCTATATATTCTCTTCTCTAGTTACTTTTCTCAAATGTGTTTTATTTAGGCCCCTGGATCTATATTCTAGAGACATGGGAATTTACTGTAACAATAATATGTTTGAAAGATCTTTGCAGATTTGGAGTATCTTACTCTTCCATTATAAAGGAGAAATTTTCCATCTTTATCACCAAAGATAAACCCATATTTTATGGATCATTGACCATTCTATTGTCCATAATAGAAGAGCATCATTTAGAATGACCTGGAATTAAGGAAAATGAAGTAGAAAATTGTCAGGAAGATTTTAGAAGTAGGAATCTGCATGAACATTATAGACTGTGATGCTTCATTAGGATTAGTACTCGGTACTTAGGTAGTTAACAGAAATTTCCCCAAGTGAGGTAAGATCAATAAAAATCAGCAGCATCTGGGAATGAAAATGTTGAATTTCATCTGTCCATCTGGGCCTTTGAAGGAAAGAAGTTGTCCTTCAGAGTTTGGTTCTTAAGAGTTGAAAAACAGAGTTAATCTAGTAGGGGGAACAACATCTGAATGATCACTAACATGATTAACTATTGCATTAAAAGGTCACTTTGAAGATACACTAGCATGAGGGAATACTTTGAAAGTGACCAAGGAAAACTAGATTCAATTAGTAGAAAGACTGGGTAAGTGGCCTCTTTGCTTTGTATTGCAAATGAACAGTTTCCAGTTTCATGCATATATGGGCATTTTTCCTCAATTAAATTTTTAGCTCTTTTGGAAGGATGGCTATATCTTATTATTTCTATGAGTAAGATAAATAACAAGTACTTGGAAAATACTCCATTAATTGAGCTGAATGAAAATGCCTGTTGACCAGCTGAGTAACCAATGAAGACATTGTTGTTCTAACTAGACTACAGGATTTTGGGAGAAAGCTAGAGTGACTCAGAAGAAACCAGGTGTTTCTTATTCTTCCATCTTCCTTCTTAAATGACCAACCCATCCCTCTGGGGTGTTTTTCCAAGTGTGATCCAAGGACTGATGTATTAGGATTGTCTGGGGAGGCTTATTAGAAGTGAAGAATTCTACATCCTACTGTGCAAGACCCATGGAGCCAGAATCTGAGAAGTAGAGTTACTTATGGGTTTCTAAAATTGGGGTATAATTTACATACAATTAAATGCATACCTTTTAAATACACTCTTTGATGGGATTTGATAAATGTATATACCCCATGTAAACACCACCCCAGTTAAGACCTCTATCACCCCCAGAAAGTTAAATGTATATATCCCATGTAAACACCACCCCAGTTAAGACCTCTATCACCCCCAGAAAGTTTCCTTAGGCCCCTTTCCAGTTAATAACTCCCCCTCTCCCAGAAGTAATCACTATTCTCATTTCAGTCACACCACATATACTGTTTTGAATCAAGCTTCTTCACTCCATGTTTCATTCATTCACGTTGTTACATGTCACAGTAGTTTCTTTTTATTGCTAAGTATTCTTCCACATTGTAGAAATGTGTTATAATTTGTTTATACATTCGCCTGGAGATCTGAATTGTGTATTTCCTATGCTGTGTAACAAATTACTACAAATGTAGCAGTTTGAAACAACACACATTTATTATTTCATAATGCCATGCTTCAGGAGTCCTGTCATGGCTTACTTAGCTGGGTTCTGCGCTCAAAGTCTCACAAAATTGCAACTATAGTGTCACCCACACTGCGTTACTGTCTGGAGCTTGGGGGCCCTCTTCCAGCCTCACATGGCTGTTGGCAGAATTCAGATCCTTGCAGTTGTAGGACTGAGGACACTGGCTTCTCACTGGCTGTTGGCTGGAGCCTGGCTGCCTGCTGCGGTTCCCGGCCACATGGCCCTCTCCGGAAGCACTTTGCAACAGGGCTGTCCACTTCCTCAATGCCAGCAGGAGACGCTTGCTCTTCCATCTGCTAACACAGAATCTTATAAAATATAAGAATACATAATAAGATATAAACCACAGGAATGACATCTTGTCACCTTTGCCATAGTAGAAGCAAGTCACAAATTTCACCCAGACTCAAGGAGAGGAGATTAATACAAGGCTGTGGATTACTGAGGTCGCTTAGAGTGTATCCACTAAGGTTGTTTCTAGTTCTTTGCTGTTAGGAATATTAGTGCCCAAGTTTTTATGTGAATATGTCCTTTTACTTGTCTCGTCTTAGGCAAATACCTGGGAGGGAAGTTGCTGGATCACAGTACAGGCATACATTTAACCTTATGAGAAAATGCTGAACAGCTTCTCAAAATGGTGGTACTTTTGCACTCGCATCAGCAATGTAATGAGAGTTCCAGCTGTTCCCCTTTCTTTTTACTGACATTTGCTGCTGTCTGTCTGTATCATTTGAGCCACTTTCTACTGGATATCAAATTTGCATTTAAAAAATGTTTTAGTTTGAGAAAGACAGAGAGAGCAAAGCGGGGGAGGGTCAGAGAGGGAGAGAGAGAATCCGAAGCAAGCTCCATGCTGTCAGCACAGAACATGGTGCCGATCTCACGGTTCATGTGATTATGACCTGAGCCAAAATCAAGAGTCCGACGCTCAACTGACTGACTGAGCCACCCAGGTGCCCCTCAAATCTGCATTTTTAATGAGCTCTGTGGGTGATTCTAACACATATTCAACCCCTGCTCTAGATGTGAGTCATAGAGCCCATGTCTAGGACTACTCAGTACAAGTTTTTCAGAAGTCAGTCCTCAAACCTTGGCTCATCAACTGAATCACAGGGAACGTTTGTTAAAAAAAAAAAGAATTCTGGGCCCTGCTCCAGACCTCCTGAATCAGCATCTCCAGGAGTATAATTCAGGAATCTGTATTCCCCCCAAAACTTCTAGGCAATGCTTTGACATGCTAAGGCTGGAAACCACTTCCTTCACTGCTTGCAGACCTCAAAGTGTCTGTGGTGTGCTAGTCACACAGAGGAAACCTCTATGAAGCAGATCTAGGACTCTGAGATGGCACCTCTCTGCTTCATGAATAAAATTCACTAGCACATTCATGCATTTATTTGTCCCCTATGTATCTTCTTATGTAAATGACACTGCTTCATGGGAGAAAAGAAGGTGGGAAATTGCAGCTCAGGTGTTGTGGCTTTACTAGCAAGACTTATTTCTTAGCTGAGAAAAATTTAACTCCAGCTATAATTCTATAATCTCAGGTAACAATCTCTTTCCACTTTCAGGAGGACATAAAGTTTCTTTAAGAGGTAACTGAAACCTACTTGCTATGTTGCAAGCCCGCCACGGTGCTGGTGAGCACTGGACGTGAGCCAAAGAGGAGACCGACCACTAGGGTAGCGATTGCAATCCCAGTGCTTAAGTGCTCAGAGGGAAAGTACAGGCACTCTCCGCCAGCACACAGCAGGGGCACCCAGCCCGAGCAAGGGGTCACGAAGAGTCCCCCAGGCTTCTTATTCTTTAACCATCATTTTTTAAAAACTGTGTTCATATAAATAAATGCAACTGAACTCCTCTCTGACCAGCAGTCTTCCCCCTCAGGCTAAACCTAGGAAGTCATCTTTGAGGGAAGACTGCTAGACACCTGTGTGTCACTGGAATAGAGAGAGATGGGTGTGTGGCCAGCTACACACTCGGATGCTGGTAGGGAACAGTTGACACAGTGTAGACTAGGCATTAGGAGAACCCTAACGATGCTGCCAGGTGATATCTTTGAGATTCACATACCTCGGCTTCTCCCACAGAAAAAAATATATAATTAAATGGTGTCTCAACAACCTGTACATAGAAGGTGTCTGAAAAGCCCAGGTATGTAGAATAAACCTGATTTGAAATAGTGTGCTGCTGCATTTTTAAATGAGATGCTTAATATTTTTTTTTCCTTCAACCTGTAGACACCTCAAGTAAAATTCTTCTAACTTTCAGTGCACTATAGAGTATTCAAAAAAGTCTGGAAACAGGGGAAATAAGTACTTACTGTACTTTTCCAGGTAAATAATTGGCCTCATTGCTTTACATTTAGAAGTTCTTTATCTGAAAAGGTGTCTGGAGATTGAAAAAAAAAAACATTGAGCACAATTTTGAACTGAGATGTTTAAAAATTATCTGTGCTGTGTTGTCCAACATTTCAAACACCTTGTACATTGCTGCACAGAATTCTCAAAGCGAGGACCTGAGGTCAGCGAGGTTATACAACTTGCCCAAACGCTCCCTGCAGCTCAGTGCCAGAGCCAGGCTTCAAAGCTCACCTAGCTGAGGCCTAAGCCCACCAGCTTTCTCCTTCGGGGCATCACCCTCGAGTTCTGACCCCCCCATATGGGGTTATTGAGAGAGCACAGCACTTCCTGATACTTTGCAGCCTTACTGTAAGTTGTTAGAGTAAGTACTCTAACATGTTACTTAAGTCATATCTATTAAGGCCCATCTCTTCACAGTGTGGGCTTCGAGAACCTTTTTGAGACACAATGAAAGCTATGGATCCTCCCACCACACAACTGGAATTTGCATTCAATGTCAAGGCACATGCAAGACCTCTGAGGGCCATCCCCAGACTCCTTTGAGGATCATGGAACCAGGTAAAGAACCACTTCTTTTGTCCAAAAAGCTCTTAAAGACAGAGATAGAGACCTCTGCTTTTCTACTTCCATCTAACTACAGAGCAGGTATGCCATAGAGCCATGGAAATGTTTGCTGTTACGAGAAAGTGCGTGCAGTAGAAACTGTCGGGGGGTGTGTAAGGAGTCAGTGAAGCGGAAGAAAGGGAGAAAACCTTTTCCAATAACAATGATGTTATGGAGTAAAGGCTCAAGAAATGATTCCCTTCCCTTCAACAGAGTCCATGTAATCATAAGAGCACGGCCACAAGGCTGTAGCTGTTGGTCGTCCACTTCCTGTCCGCATTGCTGCCACAGCCAGTGTGCCCACGAATGTGTGCCCATGCAGGCACTCCAGCTGTTACTGTCCCGTGGGGAGGCATACGGGATTTCAGGGACACGAGCACATGCGTCTCTCCCACAGGGCACCCAGAAGGCTGAAAAGCTTTATTTCCTACCTGCTCTACAAGGAGATACCAACCCTTTTTGAGGCGCTACTCTAATTTCTATTGCGGAGAGTCAGAAAGCTCTGTGGTCTTTAATTTGCCAGAAAAATGTGTAATATTAAACCAACCTTCAAATCCCACTGGGTATAGAATGTTTCACTCCCTCTAAGCTCAGAAAATATGTTGGGAATGAATCCATATCTCTCAGATTTCCCTGAGTGCCCCTTGTCCCCATCTCCCTCCCACTACTGCCCCAGCGTCCCTCCCATGCCGTACACACCCCATCCTGATGGCTTTATTATCCCTCTGGTGAGCATTTCTCTCAAATAAAAACAGGCGAGGCACTCAGCTCACATAGACATCTTCCATCTTCGCATGAGGAGCTCATTTACTAATGAATGCCTCCCTCAGGCTTCACGGACAGTGAAGGTAAATGCAGGACTGGGGACTGAGAAGTGAATTACTGATCCTTTGGGCACACGTATCTTAATGAAGTGAGAGGGAGCCGGCAGCCAGCCCCATCCTTGGAAAGTTATATCCAAGCTGCGTTGTTTACATCTTTCATAAAACTATTCTGTGTGGTCTTGTACCAGATCAAGTTGACAGCTGACCACAGGAGGAGATTTCGTGAGACACAAGGAATGCATTCATTCATTCATGCAATAAACATTTTGAAGTACTTACTATGGACTAGGTACTGTGCAAAGTGTGTGGATGCCGTGAGCTCGTGGTCTCATGGAGACGCGCGCAAGCATCTGTACTAGAAGGAAATCCAGGGGCTTGGAAGCAGGAAGGAGGAGCATTGCTCCCAGGCAAGGGAGCTGTGACTGGGCCACAGATTGAAGCTCTGAGGAAATTAGCCTGAGTGTGTTGTGGACCCCTGGTGTCAAGGACCCTTATGCAGGAGGACTTGCAAAAGGAACAGAATGTGTGAAGATCCAGAGGAAGTGGTGTGCTGGAGCCTGCTTGTACCTACTAGAAGAGGGGACTGTGTGCCTCTTTTCCCAATTCCACGTTCAGTGACATAACATTGATAACCTGAAACGGTGGGAGTGGTGGGAGTATTCACTGCTGACCAGGGCTTCTTGTCCTTAAAGAGCCAGCTGATAAATATCTGCCAACGCACCATCGCCCAGAGGTGGTAAAGAGCGTGGTAGCCCAGGGGTTACTTCCAGAAGGTCAGGATGTCTGCTGTTACTAATGAGGTGGGTTAGTTGTGACAGGTCAGGTGACCACATCAGGAATTAGGTCATGAAATGCCTCAATACCACCCAAAGAAGTTTGACAGTGATGCCATCTTGCCAGGATATTTTAGTGGATATCTACTATTTATACCTGCCCGGCATCCATTTCTCTTCCTTTTGGTAAAAGCAGCCCATGATCTAATTGGAGGCAACAGGCTAGTTGCTAGCACATAGGCCATGATAGCCCTTGCTAACCAGAGGTGTGAGGTCTGCTCTTCCAAGTCCTGGCCCTCTGTAATGTCATGTTTGTCCTTATATTAGTTGGGTGGGAAATTTCAAGTTGAAGGTCTAGCACGTTCAACCACAGAAGTGTTTATCAAAATGTGGTCCTTGCATCAGTCATATCAGAACCACTCAGAGTGGTTGTGTATAGTGATGCATCCTGAGCTCAACCCCAGAAATACCCAATCAGAATATCCACAAAGAGTCTGGATTTTTAACAAGAAACAAATGATTTTTATGCGTGCTAAAGCTGGAGATCTAAAGCCTACAGAGTGTTTTTCTTCTCTTACACACTCCATTTATTTATTCATTTAACAAATATTTATTTCTGTCAGTCACTATGCTAGGTGCTAGCAATAAAGTGATAAATAAGATCAGGCAAGTGCTTGCCTCAAGGAGCTTATATATAGCCTGGGGGAAGGGGCAGGAGAGGCAATAAATTCTTTTTTAAAAAAGCAATGTAATTTTGGGGCGTCTTGGTGGCTCAGGCGGTTAAGTGTCTGGCTTAGGCTCAGGTCATGATCTCACCATTTGTGAGTTTGAACCCCACGTCAGGTTCTGTGCTGACAGCTCAGAGCCTGGAGGCTGCTTCGGATTTTGTGTCTCCTTCTCTCTCCACCCCTCCCCTGTTTGTGCTCTGTATCTCTCTCAAAAATAAGTAAACGTTAAAAAGGTTTTTTTTAAAGCAATGTAATTTCTGATAATAAAAACTAAGGAGGAAATAAAGTGACAGGGATTTGGAGCATAAGTGGCTTATTGGTTCCGTTAGATTGGGTGGTCAAGAAAGGCTCCATGAGAAGGCAACATTTTGACTGAGATGCACGTTCTGTGTTATTTTTCCCTATGAATTGTTATTTAGGATAAAACACACATGCACACACATACACACACACACACATACACACACACGCACGTATGAACTTTAGTCTGGTCAGACAAATCAAATGAAAAAAATTCCTTAATGTAAGTTTAAATTAAAGAAGATATTTAACTGCACACTCACATGTTAGTATTAGACACGTCAGTCATGGTACCCACCATTGTTAATAGGACTATTAGCAATCCTCTAACCATGTCCTATTAGCAGCAGCATCTACTACCCACAAGCAAGAGACTGCCAAGACCACTATTTTTTTAAGTTTATTTTTTTATTCTGAGAAAGAGAGAGAGGAGAGGAAAGGGGGGAGAGCAGGTAGAACAGAGGATCTGTGCTGAGAACACAGAGTCTGATGTCAGGCTCAAACTCATGAACCATGAGACCATGACCCAAGCTCAAGTCAGAAGCTTAACCACCTGAGCCACCCAGGTGCCCCAAGATTGCTGTTTTGAACCACATGATCCTATTCCTAGGTTACAACTGGCTGTGCCCAAGGGCAAAAATCCTTAGGATATCCAGAAACATAGGAGAAAACAAACGGGGCCATCAAATTCTCTCCCAGAACCTGGAATGAGGAAACACTTGGTGATGGAGGCAGAGGGCTGAAATGGTGCTTTGAGAGAAATGGGGAGGTACAGCTGGATCCAAGCAGAGAAGTTAAAGGGAAACAGAAACCGTGAGCAAGATGAGGAAGCAAAAACTCTGTGAAAAAAACAAAAATAAAAAGATGGTGGCTCAGCTCTAGGGAGAGCATCTAAATGGTGCACAAACGGCAGGCCACTGTGCGCAGTGGGGAAATTCCTCCTCTCCATCTCAGTGTTCCGACTCCCGATCTTCCTCCCACGGGGGGTTCAGCTTTTCCTGGGTTCTCACCAGCAGCAGCAGAAGTACTGCTCCCAACACACATATTTTGAGGTAACTTGAGTGTATCTCTGTCACTAAAATTATTTATAGTCTTTTTTTGAATGATGTAATTGTAGCGTGATGGTAGCTTAAATGCGTGCGCGCGCGCGCGCGCACACACACACACAGCTTACTGGATGTGAGGGAAGGGAGGGATGTGAGGGATGTGAGGGATGTGAGGGATGTGAGGGCCGTAGTCTCACTCCTCAGACATCACTTCGGGAATGCCACTCACACCCTCCAAAGAAAGGCCGTGACTCTCGAGTGCCCTTGGCCCACTCTCGCTTGCTTTTCTACAGAGGCACAGGCTTCTTTCAAGGGTCTGTGGCAGCTTTGAGAGATTTGAAGTTCATTGACCCCAAATAACAAGAACACTTTGCAGTTACTACTCGGCTTCCTGAAGTTGATTTTATTCTGGTGAACTCCTATCAGTGAGAGGTTGTCCCTAAAAAATCGTTTTTGAGAAGACTTAAGTATTGGCTATCTCCCTAAAGAGAGGGAACCACAGTGTATAAACGGAAAAAGGTCTCTGATGTCACAGCCCATCACCAGTCCCTTTGACTAATATGAAAGAGAAATGTTTTGGAGCAGCTGAGATCTTTAGCTCTGAAAATTAGCCAGTAAGGAGCTACTTGGATAATGTTGAATATTTTTTTTTCTACAAACCCCCCTTTGAAATAAACCAGACAGAGGTTCCTTTCACTTCCATGGGGGTTTTCAGCAAAAGGAGAAAGGAGGACTTTATAAGCCCGAAGCAGCCTGGGAGACCATTCATAGACTTCCTAGCATTCTCTGCCATTTCCCAGTGTTGAAGGCCTGGAGTGTGGCTTCTCACTATCATCATTGTCCGTCTTGGGCACTAGCCTGGCAGCTGAGCTCCCCGAAGCTTATAGCCTTTGGGGTGTGGGAAGAAGTGGCCATCAGACACGATCACAGACCGTGTAGAAAAAGAGACGAGCCGGAACTGTGGCGCTGGGGAGAAGAAGCACATAGGGCTATTTTCATACCGTCCTGAATCACACTTCCTGTCTCCCGTGCCCAGTGCTCCTACAGCGAGTCTGGAAAAAACCCTGCTGTGGGGGCACGCAGGGAAACCATCCGGACGGGCAGAGATTTCTCTGGCTCTACCTCCAGGCTGCTTCCAGGAACAAGACCTATATCGCCTACTTCTTTGAAAGGTCCTCCTTCCTGCTTCATTGCTGCTGGCATTCCTCTGATTTGGTGGCAAGAATCCCTAGTCTTTGGTGGGAAGGAGGGTCATAAACAGATTCTGATACCTCACGAGAATACCATGTGCTAATTCACTATTTGCTCTGCTAGAAAAGCCTCATCCTCTTCAGGTTCTTCCTTTCTCACATGCAGGATGACATGTTCTTTTCAAATCTTGTTTGACAGGGCAATAGATACAGTTTTTATCTCCACCCCCATCTCTACCACTCCCTTAAAACCTTTAATTTATTCAGCTGTGCATGAATTTCCCAGAATTCCATTCTGGTAAGCATTTAAAATAACTTGGGATAAAATAATCCTCCAAAGATCCTACTGATATTATGCCTGGAGGAATACCCTGTGAGCAAGATCTCAAGATGCACAAGTCCCTTTAAGGACTTGAAAGTGATGTTCATCCATGCTTGATTCCTAAACAAATCCACACAGGTCCAAGGGGAAGTCCTAGACCTTCCCTTCCATACCTGCCTTCTCCTCACCATAATAAGGTCCCCTCTCACTCTGAGCCCTGTGCTCTTTGAGTTTAGAGCCAGGATGGGCTTTATAAGTAGATGCTGACTATAGAATATAATTTAGGGAAGTTTGAAAAGACAGCTGTTCTTATCATATATTACTCTCTCCCTATTAGATTGGAATGCTTTTGGCTACAAAGTAATGGAAAAATACA